TCTCCAATAACAGGAATGGAGCTGGACTGCTCTGTGACAAGGCCATGGCCCCCAAAAGTTATCCTCCCCTCAGTGTGCTCTTGCCTTGACCTACCTGTGCATACTCTTGCCTTTCATTGTGAAGCAGGGGTGTGTAGGTGGGAAGGAAGGGGACATGGAGAGAATGCTCTTACCTGCAGAGTTGGAGCCAGTGAGGTTCCTGAGGAGGATGTGGAAGTCACAGAAACTGGGGAGGAAGCATCAGAAATGAGAATGATGCAGCTTCACCTCGGAGATGCCAGAGACAGGGAGTCTCAATGCCCAACCTGAGTCACAGATGTTGGGGGGATATAACTAAGGCCGTATGGCTTCCTTCCCACCCAAGAGACCCTGGACATAGGGAGGAGGGACCAGCTGCACCCAGAATATATGGTGGGACCATGGGGCCATCTAGGGTTTGGACACATACCACTGGGGATAGAGGTCAAGGCTGGTCTGGTGTAACCTGCAGAGAAAAGAGGGACCAGCTGCACCCAGAATATATGGTGGGATCATGGGGCCACTAGGGTTTGGACACTTACCACTGGGGATGGAGGTCAAGGCTGGTCTGGTGTAACCTGCAGAGAATGGGTAAAAGTGAGGTGGGATCATTCAAACATTAAGAAAGGAATGAAGGGGTTAGACCACTGACGAAAGAGCAGGTGCTATCAAGAAGTTGTTCCCCTTCCAGACAGTGGGTTGTGCCTCTTAGAACCTTTCTCTGTCTTTCTGTGCGTGCGCGCGCACGTGTGTATGTGTGTGTGTGTGTGTGTGTGTGTGTGAGAGAGAGAGAGAGAGAGAGAGAGAGAGAGAGAGAGAGAGAGAGATACACAGAGAGAGAGAGAGAGAGAGAGAGAGAGATACACACATTACACACATTGTAGGAGAGGGGGACCTCACAAAGAAAGGAAAAGGCAGGAGAGAGAAATATGGAAGCAGATATGGAGGTATTATTGGGCTAAAGCTCAGAGAATCAACGGAAGAATTCACCTGGAGTGCAGAAGAAGATGACTGTCACCACCAGATGCTCACCATTGACGTAGAGATGATCCCTGTCCAGGATGTAGGGACCAAGTTGGGTGACACTGTGATTCTGTTGGCTCAGCTCCCAGTAGAGCCGCTCCCTGCTCAACCCAAAGCCAGCAGCGTCAGGACGGTGGGTGCAGGAGACATCAACTCCAGTGGCTTCTCCGCCCTTTTCAGGCCTAGGGAGAGAAGGAATGGACACGGGGACAGGACAGAGACATTCCCGTAGGACGTCCTTCCTCATCTCACTTGTATGTGGATGCCCGCTTTTCTGCTCTCCTGGTTTAAGCATGAGCCGCTCACAAGAGAAGGGGCGTCTTTGAGCCACAAAAGACCAGAGTAGATGATTTAGAGTCAGAAGGCCAAGGTTCAACCTCAGCTCAATCACTTGTAGAAGAATCCACATACGCTTCTCTGACTCGGTTCTCCCATCTTTGCACCCTGGAGAATGCTGTAACCACGTTGCTGGAATGTCATGGCATTCAGAGTGTCTGATATAAAATACACAGTCCTTCTGCCAGGTACCTAATTAAGTGTCTAGTAATTATGAAATAAATGTTTACACAACACTCACAGAGTCCCCAGTGAGACTGGATGGCAGCTCTGAACAGAGACTCATCAGCCCTCGGGAAGCAGATCCAATCCAAGTTTCGGAGCTGAGCATCTGAACACAAGACACTGCAGAGCAGAGATGTCCGCCCTCTGCCCACTTGCCTCTTTCATTACTATTTCCCTGGGACAACTAGGACTGAAGGGATAACCTGGGAGACCCAGCAGGCAGCACTGTCAGAGAGCATCACTGGGGAGAAACAGTGTCCCTGGCACCTCAGCATCATGGAAGTGGCCTGGAGCTAAGCTGCTAGCTCTGGTCTCTAGAAACTTGATCAAGGTACAATGTCAGTTGCGTTGCCTGGCAATGCTGCTTGTGATGAAAATGACCCCTAGTTAATGATCTGCATCTTCTCTGGGAGGACCTTAAATCAATACCCAGCAGGAAGCTAGAGCTTTGGTGTGGGGTGACCCTGTTAACGGGGCAGGACTGTTATAAGAGATTGGTTCCCCTTTGGGACATGGGACATATAAGTCAGGGTGGCTCTGGCACCTATCCATTGAGGTTTCATTTCTTGGCACATGGACTGTCACCTGGAACACCAAAAGAATAGCTCTTGGACTGCCAAGAGGGTTCTTGCAAAAAATGAATGCCCACTGCTGCCCTGCTGTCATGTTGTGTCCTGTCTACATCCTTCCAAGTGAAACTGAAGCCATGTGTGGCCCACTTAGAGCTTGCAATACTGACTCTGCTTGGATTCAGGATGATCTGGAGAGGGCAGTGCACAGCACTAGCACCAGGCTTGGGGACAGGGTGTGGCAAGCAAGACACCCAGATACAACATTTGAGGACAAGCTCACTCTCGGGTTGTACAAGCAGATGGTTAGCACCAAAGGGCTAGTACCTCCTTTAATTTTGTGTCCTAGGCACCTCACTGCCCTCACCCGAGTCCAGGCCCTAGCCAGCTCAACCAGTCCACACCTTACTACACCTCTGAAGGCAAGACAAAGAGGAGGTCTCACCTTAGTGCGGTCAGTCTGCAGCCAGTGTAGAGAGAACCAATGCTGCTGTTGGTGATTAAGGGCCTGAGCTGAGGAGGAAGGAGCAGGTGGATGGAAATTAATGTAAAGGTAATCATCATTTAAAACACAGTATTTAAAACAACAGCTCCCTAATCATGTCATATCCCATTTCATTCTCAAAAGGATCCTTCAGGATAAGTGCTTTTACTGTCTCAGTATTACAGATGATGAAATTGTACCAAAAGGCAAGATCACTACGCCAAAGTCACATCACTTGTCAATGGCAATTCCAAGTTTTGAACCTGGAACTGTCTACCTCCTCGGCCCTCTATATCCTCCAAAAAATTGTACAAGGAGACTCAAAGAGGGTGGGGAGGAAGCTGGAAAAGAGAAGTAGCAGGGGGGATCTCACCAGGTGTTGTATAACTGACTCTATAGAGTTGAACTTTGCAGAGCCAGGACACATGTCCTCCGTGAAGTGCAGGTTGATGATGGTGAAGTTGAGGGTAAAGGGCACCAGGGCAAAGCCAGCAACTGCAGTGGGGAGAGGGAGGAAAGGCCATGCCTCAAGTCACTGTTAGACCAGACGTGGGGCCAAGGGTGACTGGGACACAACCCCAGCCTGCTTAGAGATACCTTATCATCTTGGAGATACAAGGGAGGAGGTCCTCATGCCTGAGGCTTCTTATGGGTATCATTTCCTGTTCATCTGAGGCTGGAGATGGAGTTGGGGGGGTTGGGGGGCGGAACAGTGGTATGTTCTATTTTACATGGTTTCCAATTTGGGCCACATACAGAAACTAAAGACGATGGTACCAGGGCATTATATTAATGATCCAAAGATGATCTCTATAAATTAGTCCTTATGTTATTCATTTCTTCACAGCAGACTCAAAAGTTTACAAGGACTAAACAAATTTTTACATAACCGATTATTTTAAGCACAGCACAAACACCATAGTTAAGCCATTACAAGCCTGCCTGCTTTGCATACCCTGTAAAACTGCATCTGACATCTGATAGCCATAAAAAAATAAGCTTTGTGGCTACAAACATTCTACCCATTACTGCCCTTCAGAGCATCTAACCCAGAGACCCTCACCCTTCAATGGGCTTCTTAGTGAGTTCACCTAGACACATAAGTCCTCTCTCTGATCCCCTCCTCCCCGGAGAGGTCCCTGGATTTTCTCTCCTGAGTAGTGATCCCCATGCTATCACCACCTTTTTTTTTTTATAAGAAAGCAACTTTATTTTTTATTTTATTAAATTTATTGGGAGAACATTATTAATTAAAACATAAATTATTAAATAACAAACAAAATAATGCAGGTTTTGAGTGTCCAGTTCAATAATACATCATATGTATATTGCATTGCATGTACAGCACCCAAAGTTAAATTTCCTTCTGTCACTATATATTTGACCCCCTTTACCCTTATCTACCTCCCCGCTCTCCCCTTTCACCTAGTCACCACTAAACTGTTGTCTGTGTCTATGAGTTTTTGTTTATTTGTTCTTTTCATTTGTTGCTTTCAGTTTTATAACCCACATTTGAGTGAAATCATATGGTTCTCAATTTTTTCTGTCTGGCTTATTTTGCTTAGCATGATAATCTCAAGATCCATTTATGTTGTCATAAATGGCAGTATTTCATCTTTTCTTATAACTGAGTAGTATTCTATTGTATGTATGTACCACACCTTCTTTATCCAATCATATATCAAAGGGCACCAGTTGTTTCCATGTCTTGACCACCGTGAATAATGCTGCTATAAACATCAGGGTGTATATATCTTTACAGATAAATGTTATCAATTTTGGAGAGTACCCAGAAGAGGAATCATTGGGTCACATGGTAATTCTCTTCTTAATTTTTTGAGTAAATTTCATATTGTTTTCCACAGTGGCTATACCAATTTACATTCCCACCAGCAGTGTATGAGGGTTCTTTTCCCCCCATAACCTCTCCAACACTTGTTATTACTTGTCCTATAGATGATAGTCATTTTA